AAAATATTAAAATTATTATTACCAGCTAAACCGACGGCGACGGCACGTCCAAATAAATTAAACGTTATATATATTTTTTTTAAGTCTAAATTGACTCTATATAATATATGTAATAGTCTCTAGTTCAAAACCGAAACTTATCTTGGTAGGAAAAAAAAAAAAAATAAAGAGACCGGATTAATTTCAATAGATCTTCGCCGGGCCGTTGCGGTTTGATTTATGTGTTTTCATTAGGCGCTAGCTGAACGTTGTCCGAATGAGGTTTTCCGAGGGAGTTGTACGCATTGTGTGTGTGCACAATTGACACAGTACACACACACACACAAGTCTCAAGTCAAAATGAGAAACCGCCGCCAAGACGGCGAAGGTGGGGAGGGGGGGGGTGCACATTTAAAAGGACAAAAGTAGGGTTTTGTACTCCCCACCGACATTGGCAATACCAGACAATACTGTCGGATTGGACTGCTTAAAGAAGAGCCCTTTCCCTCGGCGCGTTGACTTAACTGTCGACATTTGAATATTCACATTTTGTCGCACGTACGTGCCCGCCGACTCATCTAATTGAAAACTTTCTCGAGAGACTTTTCTTCGAGACGGAATATTATTATTATTATTATTATTTCTGGCTTCTGCACACTATACCGAAACCATTAGGCGAGGACGATTAAAACGTCGCCGAGCGCAGGCCATGAGTATACTTACATAATATATATATACTGTATTAGCACTTCGACTTAAGGTTTTCCTTCCTCGGCACAGTTGGCATTTTACTACACCGGAAAACCTTTTTCGTGACGAAATTGCGTTTCCGCATCCGTTTACCGCGTGTTAACCGACCAGTACATCAAACTTATATCCATGCAGTTGGTAAATGAAGAAAACCCACAACTCGGGTCGCACTGTTGCTATAAATTCTGTGTAAAATTCTGTGCACAAAACCAACCGGCACCACTACCGTGTTGACTTTGCCTAATTTAAATAAAATAATGATTCATACTTTTACACGCATACCTTTCATACTTTCTGATTACTTGCTATTCGCACAAACCGAGTTAATTTCCATTTTATAAGCGAATAATTGTTAATTACATTGTAAACATATAGGTAATATTATTTAGTACACAATAAAAATATTTATTTTAAACAATTGATTAAAATAAATGATAACATTTTTAATCTAATTTAAATAGTTTTCATATCGATTATTTAACAGGAAGACAATTAATATCGTAATATAATAACACAAAAGTTTAAATAATTTTACATACATTATCGACAAACTTTTTAAATAAAAGTTAATAATTAAAAATGTTTTTAACTATAGTCAACAACATTATTATTTTTTTAACTTAATATTCTACAATGTAAAGTAAAGGTATGTGGTATATTTTTTTCAAACCCTTAACAATTTAAAAAGTAATTAAGTAATACCTACTGTAATACTAAAGTAAATACTTTAAAAAAAATTGTTGAGTGATATCTTAATTACTTTTAGATAAAAATAATAAAAAAACACTTTAATAAACACCACAAAATATTATTATGTTTTATAACACCGTGTAAAAATTAATCATAACACACTTGGTTGTTACAGGAAACAAAGTGCTAATAATTATTATATAAATATATATGTTGTCTTAATTTAATAGTGTATTGTTATAAGTTTTATCAGTTTTATTTGGTAATGATTCACCGGAATCAATAACATAACAAGATTGTGAGTTCATAAAAAGGTTATAAAAAGTAGTAACTTTTGTGGGGCGTTTTCTCGTATCGATTTTACTAGTAGTTTAGTATTAATAATATGAGTCACGGTAAAAGGTCAATGTAGTTTATCTACACGCCATGCAAAAAAAAAAACCGCACTCACTGCAAAACTATTTCCACTTTATTTGTTTTGAACGCTGCCGTAGTTTAACCACAACAAACGGGGCGTGTTGCAAAATTACAATCTGATAAGTGTTTGTGAAGAAAACTGCCTATAACAAACAAAGTACATACAAAGCATAACATCATTTTTTTCTTTTTTTTTTTACAATAGCACGACATTTACATTTTAAGCGACGCTCATATGCCTATGAACTTATCTGGGGCTTTTTATGCGATTACGGTTTTCAGTAACATAACTTAAGACTTTATCGCGGATTTGTTTGTGATTTCTGCGCGTAAGGCGTTTTGCCGATTTCCAAGTTTGTTTACAACTAGTTCTCCGGTGTGTACGATACACGGTTGTTGTGCATTGCGGCTGTGCAAGAAATTTAAGTACATCACCAAATGCGGTATAAGTTGCGCAATTATTTTCGCCGTTGCCGTTTTGAAACTACCGGAACGGCCTTCTGGGACTGCAATCCTCGAGTCAATCGAAAAACCATTCAGTGACCGTAAAGGACGTGCGTTTGACGGCAGCCAGGAAGATTAAAATATCGGCCACGACCCCTTGTATTACGGCCAAGTCCTGCAATTGACCCGCGAACGACGCCACGCATTCATTAAACTTCTTATAGCCCGTAGGACGGAGGCAGGGAGAGGGGTGTCGACGACCCGATTACTTCTTTTCTCCGGGACACACGCACGTGTGTTGTGACAAGTGGTCCAAGATGAATAGCCCATTATTGTCGTTGTTATTTAAACGTTAGGTTTGCTGATAATCTTCACAGTTTCTATTAGGAAAAAAAAAAAAAAACAACACCATACAAACATTACAACGTATGTATCAGAAAGCGAAACCAAAATGCTAGCACGCACAAAATTAAAGTAACGCAATTTTTTTAAATGCCAAGTAAAATATTTATTTGTTTTTTTTTTTGCAATAAATTCAAGTATAGCCCGTTGACCAATTTCAGAATAAATGATTGAACAATTTTTGTGAATAATATTTAATTTCCTACCAAAAACACGAACCAGTTTTAACAGTGTTAATTATTATATTGTAACAGTTTGTAGTAATACTATTTTTAAATAAAATATTTGTAAAAATATATTGTTGCTATGCCAGTTAATCATAATATTATTATTATATAAAACTATTTTCATTTTAAACCTAAAACACTGTGTAACTTACAAAGTAAACAACTTATATCAATAATTACATTTTTGTTTATCAGTATAAGGTAAATAAACAATCGAAATCAATGGTATACCTATTATTATTAACGCTATAAGAGTGTACTTTTTTCTATAAAGATTATAATATAAATAATAAACATCTGTATTGACAATAGCACAATTTATAAAAAAGTAAACCTAACACATGTGCGCCGCTTAACCATCAATATTATTATTATTATAAAGTAAATGGGTGGGAAATATCAAATAAATTATAGCCAAAAAAAGAGACCACATCTAATATGATTTAATAGGGCCCCAGATGCTTAAAAGACCGACCGGTTATTGCAAATTACCATAATTTGAATAAGCCAATTATATGCATAATCCTTAATGGTAGGTAGTAAGTATACTGAAATGATAAAATATGTATCTTTTTCTTCTACATTCGGAGCTCGACACGAACATTAAAAAAAAAAAAAAAAATGTACATTAAAAACAAAACAATTTATCAAGATACAAAATATAGCATTAAGAAGAATATCCTTTATGGTTTTTCGTTGTCTGCTGACATTTTAAAACCGTACTTTTGTATTACAATGTACATCTTTGGACCAATGTTTTTTTTTCTTCAAAAATATGAAGTAAAAAATAACAAAGACTGACTAATTGTCTATTTATTATCTATAACATTTCACTCGTGTATGTTAATTGTCAGTTTCGGCGTCCCACCAGGTTTTGGCACCTATCCACAACAGCCGCGGACTGACGTTTTTGAAAACGCCATAAGCGCCACCGTTAACAATAATTATTGTTGTAAGATAAAAAAAAAAAATAGTTGGCACACGTTCTTAGGCCGCAGTGGTGGTCTGGGTGAGTTTGATCACTGTGTTCAACACGTGATGACCCACATAATTCTGTTGACATAACGACACCAGCCAGGGGGGTCTCTCCGACGTAAGACGCTGCTTCTACGCACTTCACATTATCAAGTGTTAAGAGAAATTACCATTTGAACCGTATATGCCGTAGGTACTGTATAATTTTTTAGTGATCTCGAAAAAAAAGTAGTAAAGTTAAACAAAAAAAAAAAATAATAGAAATAGGCTATCTACATAAGGATCAAAAAGGCATTAATGTGACCCTGTGTGACTAAAATGTTCACAAAAAATAATAATATTCGTCAGAATAATATAGGGTAATCATATAGCAGAACATAGCCAAACTGAGCAAGTTCAGTTCAGTCATAAACAAAACTAACCGAGTGAATGTTACCAATAAATCGATTAAGGCCAAATATTAAAAAAACTTTTGGCCAACAAAAAAAAACTGTTAAAAATCAGAAAATTAAAAATGTAGGTTTACTTGAATTGTCATTTACTCGGTCATAAGACATATGTACACGTGCCTATGTATCCGCTTGTAGTGTGGATACTTTTTTTTTTCTAATAATATATTCAATAGTATAAATTTAAATAATTAATATATAAATTATATAAGTCTAAAAGTAATGGCGTACCTTTCCTTATAAGTTTCGGTCGTATTATTTTTCAGATATCTAGTAATTATTTTAGGTGTTTCGTTGTTACTAAGTCAGCTAATGTTATTATTATCTATTCTAATAATCAAAATAAATCGATGAATTTATATTTAAGACCTAAGGTACATAATTTTATTATTTAATAATACTGCATTAGCTACTGCCGAACAGTTTATAACGATGCGTTATATTTTTTAAAAAAATATGATAACAAAAATCCAAGTAATCATTTGGTTGTGAAATTAAAATTGTGTGTTGAAATAACAAATGAAACGGTATATTATAGTATGTATATTGTAATCAAGAGAAATATTTAATGTCAGTTATCTCATGATGATCGGTACAAAGTATCTACCTGATATTTAATAATAAATTATAATTATTCTAATGTTGATGTAAGCAATAAACACCATCATCGACATGCATCAGTACTATACACAACCTTATTATAATCACACCTAGTTCATTTTCTAAAACGTAAATTTTGATTTTATATTAAGTCACTATGAATTGTAAATGTTTACTTATTGCATTTGGACTATTTTTTACAAAAACACTTGCTGACAGCCTTTCGTCTGAATTAAAACCACACGAGCTAGGTGAGTTAATATAATATAATATACTGCATAGAAGCGTTTTACTGAAGGTTAAACTCTTTCAAATGTACGATATGATAATGTTGTTCAATTTTAAATTTTATACATACAATATTTTGTTTACAGATGACTATGACGTGACAACAATTTATAAACTACGAGTCAACGGTTCCGTTAAATGTACAATATTAATCTGTTTAAGTTCTATTTCATAACACGCAATTATAGTTATATTTTTACAATTGTTTTCAAAAAGGTTCGAGGCCGGATAAATTGTTGGATGGTGTCGTTCTACCCTCGGATTGTTATTATGTCGTAATAAATTCAAGAACAAATAGTATTGGTATGCCAATACACTATAACGGAAGAGTGTTAAGTTTAAAAAAAAATGATCTTGAATACATAGTAGACGAGTATTATTCTAACGATTTTTTGACAAAAAATTACGTGGAATACGATAGTAAAAATGTAGATTTACGCCGAATGGACAGAGGATTTAGACCGATTAAAGAATATCTTAATGGCGGTGAGTATCTATATGGAACAGAAAATTCGGAGTATATTATTTTTGTTATTTAATATCATTATTATTATCACTATATTTTAACATTGTATCATACTGAGTACAATAGTTGATAAATGCACATATAATTAAGCACATTAAATTAAATATAAAAAAACAGGGTAGTTAGTTAGCATAGTAGGGTCAGCTATCGTTGGTAAGGATCATATTTGGACCGGGAGAAGTATAACCCTTTAGGAATTATTATAAGCGCTGCGATGCGAATATTCTTTAAAACTGATTTGAATGTGTTAAGACTTTTATGAGTATAAAAATCAACTTGACAATAAAACAAAAAATTGTAAGATCAATAACTTCTCGGCTCTGCATCGAAGATTAAATAAACTTGCTTAAACATGAAGCACCTCCTCCTAAAAAAAAACAAAAAACTGGTACTGTAAAAGCTATGATTTAAACTTTAAAACATAGCTGATTTTCTATGGGAAAGGGGACAAGATAATAACATTATAAAATGTTTATTTATTTCCATAAGTTTTTTTGTTGCAAATGATTACTATAATTTAAAATATTGAAATTATGTAGTTATAAATATAACTTCTTTAACATGTGCACTGTTGACTGTTGTATAATTGTAAATAATTGAAAAATTAATTGTGACCAATTATCAAATAGGTGAACAAAGAATACATCCTGCAGGCGGTATAATCATGAATTCATACTATGATACATTATTTTATTTAAAAATCAGTTGGACACCTTCTAAAACAATTAAAGGATGTATAGCACTGACATATTATATAGATGGCAATGACCAAGATGCAAACGTGAAAATATTTAAAAAAGACAATAATATTCCAATGGTGTCATATAAAATCAATACATCGGTAACTAGTATAATGTGCTTATTTTATTTAGTAATTTAGTTAAATCTAAATAAATTGTTTCTAAAAATTGTTTCCATTGATAAATTAATCCCAGTTGTTTGTTGGACCGTATGGATAGCTGTTTGTGGAAATATTTTACTAATTTATAAATGTGTTACAGAGTGGTTTGAATACAGTAGTACTACGTACAAATGATGTTTTTGTAAAAAATAAAACGTATATTTTAAATATTACTAGTTCACCTACTCTTGTTTATAAAATATTTGGAATTAAAAGAATAGCTCAATGCAGTAGTAAGTAAATGATAAACCTACTTAATAAATTTGTACAAAATTAATAGATACATCGACGACGGGAAGACAAACTATGGCAAATTTTAGGAGATGCTAAAATTGTATTTTTTCTTTAATTAGACGTACATTTTTTAAAAATCCTTTTTCAGATTTCGAAAATAGATTTTCTACAGATTTTTCGGGTATCTTAAAATAATTGGATATTTGAATGTGGAAATCATTTACTTCATATATCGTTATATTTTTAAACATAAATACTTAATAAGTTGTCAGTGAAAACACTTAAACTATGAAACATAAAACGACGCCTAGTAAGTTCAGTGGGTTCGGTATAACTGGAAAGACAAAATTGTATATATTTATTTTTTCATCTACGAATTCTCAGTTATGTAATTAAACTCAGACCTTGATTTGCTAATAAACTACCGTGAACACATTAATAACAAATTGTGCTCTGCATATTTGAGAATTTTGTGACGAAAGTTAGATTTAAAATTACTTTTTATTTTTTTCCATAACAATTGAATATTCTGTCCACGAGGTACTTAAGCAAACAATTGTGCAATGCTAACTGTAATTCATCACTTTCATGCGATTACACGGGCACTTGTCTAGGTGGATGCAAAAAAAATTATATTTCGCCAAAATGCACTGAAAGTATGCTTTTAGCTTAATGTATTATTTTGATGACGTTATGAAAACTTATTTATACTACTCTTCTTGCTTATAGAATATCCTGGTGATTACTCCTCCTCAGTTTATGTCATCTGATTATTTTTCTATTAAATTAAACTTAAATTTTTTAAAAACAAATATCGATGGAGCAACAGGAACCTGCTTTATACTATCAAGTTATTTACAAGGTAAGCCCTAAATTTATACCAACTGACTTTTATATCACACTAAGACAGACTTTAAGAATTGAATATTTGTTTTTTTTTTTTTTTTAATAAGCAAGCGTCAAGCGAGTTAGATTTTCAATATTTGGATATTAAAGAAATAGGAAATTCTGAATATATAGTAGAAACAATTTATAATTTATTGCCTGATACTCCTTACTTGTTTGGTGTAAGAATAATTACCGAAGACGGAAATTACAACGATGAGAATATAAATATAGCAACTTACAAGACTTCGTGTTTAGGTAAGCAATTTAAAATACTATATCAAAGCTTCTACGTATCAAGATATTAAATACACGGACCGTGCTTGGAAGGCAGGGACAAGTGTAACAATTACCTTAGTGCGACAAAAATATCATAACATTGTTGTTATTTTTTAGAACTCAAAAGTTGTAGGAAATTTTCAGAATTAAGCTAACGCCGACTATTTGTTGTGGTACGAATAGCAAGACTGAACAATTTAATTAAGTTTGTTTTTAATTTTATAATCATTATTACCGTTTTTTTTGTACTCATATAATATAATTACTAACTGACTAAACATTCCAAAAAAAAAAAAAAATTAATTGTAAGCACACAAATTATAATATGTTACAGTCCCTAAGAACATCGACTATGGAGTAAAACTGTTGTACGGTACCAAATATATAAATGTCACTTGGAAAAAGGTAATATCATTATGGAAAAAATACACCAAAAATTATTTTTTCGTAACAACTCTTTACACTACTTGGACACCAAAAGAAAATTATAAATATGGAGATATTTATGCTAATCTACCGTCTATTAATTTACAGTACAACAGTGAACACGACTCGCGTGAATGCAAAATCAACCATTACATGTTGAAATTGACGTTCGACGAAGAAAACGACTTGTATGACGAAGCTAATACTACGACCACTGAATATGTTTTCGAAAACCTAATACCAGCCCATGTTTATACTGTCCAAGTCACAGCGATGACAGATTTAGGGCCCGTCGAACCCTCAGTAGTACTCAATGTGACTACACATTATGAGCTTGGTTGGTATTATAGGCGAAAATTCATAATTTACACGGTAAAGGCGCTAACATGAGTTTGTTGTGCTTTTTTAGGTGATATCGTTATAGAAAACTTAAAAGCTAAACTACAATATTCAAACACAGGTGTTCATTTAACTTGGGAGTTGAGAGACACATACATAGATGCTGCCATAAATTACATGATTAAGTATAAGGTAAACGTATTTTCAACATACAAAACATGATATCTGTACAATTCTTGATTAAAATTTCTGTATCGATTGAAACGATAATGTTTTTTTTTTTTTTTTTAGATCAATCGATTTGATAGTTGTTCTTTAAACCCCGTTAATAGTGACTGGACCGAAATCATTGTAAACAATGAAAGGGAATACGATTTGTTGGACTTGATTCCAAATTCCCAGTATATTGTAAATGTCCAACCGATCGCCGATGGTTACACGGCAGACAACAATACCGATAAAACAATCTTTGTAAAAACTGCGCCTTCAAGTGATACAACTAAGATTTTTATTGTGAAATTTAATATTTATCATTTGTATTCGTTTCGAAATATAGCACCGAAGTTTGCGCCTGTTATTGATCCAAGTCAACCGTTGTACGTTAATAATGAAACTGCTTTAGTAAAGTGGATCGTTGATGATAAGCAATCTTGTACGCAGCTCAATGGACTTTTGAGGGGTTTCCATTTAATTTTGAAAGTAAATTAACTAAAGCCATGCACCAAATATTCGCACTAAACCTCTGAGTATCTCGAATATGTCCTAATACTAGTGACTGATTTGCATTGTATTTAAGTATATTATTCTCTATTAAAAAAAAAATGTTTATTACAGAACTTAAAAGATGGAACACAAGAAGTCCTAGAAACGGAAGAAACCGCTATAGAATACACTGGTCTAACTCCTAACACTGAGTACGAACTAGAAGTTTATATAAAAACAACCAAAGGATTCGACATGGCTTATAAGCTTTCGGTCCCGTTTAAAACCAAAACGGAATGTAAGTTTATTATCATTCAACAAAAACGTTGTTTTGACGTTGAAGTCGGTAGACTTGAATAACATCAAGCATATATTTTATACGTCGATCGAAAAATGATTTATTTTATTTCAGTTTTAGCGCCGGTAGAAGAACTAACGGTCTACAAGAAGAACTTTAAATTGAAAACCGTCAGTCTTAGATGGAAATATTCAAACGATTCCGATGCCAATGGTTTTATAATTCAAGTGTACAATGACAATGAAAAACTTAAAGCGAGACAAATGACAATAGAACCATCACCGTGTAAAGCGTGGCCAATGTACTATTGTACAACTGTTGATAATTTAACATCCAGTGCTGAATACACAATTAAAGTATTTTCAATTTTTTTTCTCCTATTATTATCAAATCGTCGACAGCACCTAAACAATATTTGTATGAACATTTTTCGCATAGGTGAAAGCCAAATCAATTGATTATCCAACTGGAGGATTCTTGTCATCAGTTAATTTTAACACAATTGATGGATGTATGTATATCTTTGATTCATAACGCGATATAGTATAGTAGTTTTTTGGCTTGCAAGAAAATCCGTATGATTTTACCTTCTGTTTAAATGAATTTTTAACAGCTCCAAATGAACCGGGAAATCTTAGGAGTTCCTATGTTGGGCCCACTAACGTAACGCTGGAATGGGATATCCCGTGGATGTTAAATGGTGTATTAAAGGCATTCATTATAAACATTGAGGAAATATCCGCCATGGACGCAGACAAGTGTTGCACCAGTTTGCCAACGATGGAGTTGCAAGTCACCGAAGAAACGCCATTTTATAATTATACGGTAACTAATTATTATAAAAAAAAAACATATAAAGGTAGAACTTAAATAATAATAATAATAACTAAATTGGTGGGAGAAGTGATAAATTGATTTTTTTTTCAATAACAAGTTATACTACATTTACATTTTTTATTAATAAAATGTTTTTTTATTTGTATTTTACTTGTAAATGTTTCTCAATTCACAAAATAAATAGTCAATGGACATTTTTAAAACAGCCAATAAGAAAAAATCACTCATCACTTGTATTAACATCACTGCTATATATATATTTTTTTTTTTATAAACGAGAGTGACAAATTTGATTTTTAGATTGCCAACCTAAGACCCGGTTCGACTTATTCCATAGAAGTGATGTCAAAGACGTCGTGGTACGGTCAAGCTAAGAAAATACAAGTGACAACTTTGTTAGATTTTCCCTCAGAATTTCTCAGATCAAATATTTCTGAGTCAGATACCACGGAAATTCCAGATGAAGACAATTTCACCGCACCATATTATTAAAACTACAAGTTTTAATATTACAACAATTATCAAATCTTTTAAACATAAAAAAACTTTTCAAATTTGTATCTATATTATTTAGATAAAATATATAAATATGTTACTATGACACTAATACTAATAATACAATTTTAAGAACATTATTGCTTATAATATGATTTTTTCCAATTCACTATTACCTAGCCCTTTGGTTGGGAAAGGGGGTTGCTCCATTTTAAGAGGTTAACCTTAAGGGATTTTTGATCTCCCAAATTCCCATCTGCAATGTAGAACGTCTAATGGATAGACGAGGAGATTCAAGGATATCGTTTGAACAAAAAAAAAAAGAAAAGAAATCATTTTTCAAACATTAATACCTCATCTCAAGTAGCTATACAATCGCATCGAAGTTAAAATCGAAATAAAGCGCGTTTTCTTATAATGGTATTATGTACATTTTTAAAAGCCAAAACGATTATATATTTTCTTTGGAAAAAATTACACAAAAAGAATAATAAATTACATAATATTATTATTATTTCTGTATTTCACGATACCTCGTTGCACGGGCATTCAAACAGACTACTGCACGGTATACTCGCTCGGTTTGCGGATTAGTCATTAGCAAAGCATTAAACGGAGGGGATTATACCGTTATGAAAATATGTTTGATATATATATATATATATGTGTGTATGCATTATAATGTCCCTCGTTATGTTGGGATTTTTTTTTGTTCAAGTGCGTATTTTCATCTGAAGTTTTTTTTGTAAGAAGATTTATTGGGGGCATAGGGTCCGGCGATATGTCTTATTTTTCCTCATATATATATATATAATATATATATATATATATATATATATTATTTTTTACTTGCCAATATAATACAAAAGACTGCGTTAGTCTTTACGGACATTGTAGTCATTTGTGAAAAAACCGCATTCGATATTGAATTGTTTAACAGAGAAAAAACTCGAGTTTTCCGAAATTTATCTGCGTCAGGTGCCGACGTTCCCGCACATTCTATGTTTTATGAGCATTTGTCGACACAAGACAAACGGCTAAATCATAAAATGTCCGTCCGCCCTCAATGATATCTCTTCTGTGTGTGTGTGTGTGAGATAAATATTTTTTCCACCCCGTTATTGTATCGTAGAGACGTGAGCCCATATGTTATGTAGTATATTGTACAATATATATGTATAAAAACACGCCGGAAAAACTGTTATATCTGCCCCGGCGAAATCGCCTTGGGTCTTTGGCGTTAACCCCGAGGACCGATCGTTTACACCTATCGCATTTCCTCGGTTTTCGCTGACCGAAATTGCTAAAGATTTTTTTTTTTACCATCCGCCATCACAGTATGAATAGCGAACGTGAAGAAATAAAAATATGTTATGTTTCGCTTGTTATAAAATATATGCTTGTCCACAAAATGTTGTGTTGTAGCTGTTCTAGTAAAGTAAAAAAAAAAATATTTTTTAATTTGCTACAAATCACACATTATTATTTTTTTTTTTTTGAAAGCATAAAATCCAAAGTATATAAGTTCAAATTATATGTTTTGATATTTTACAATACGGTTTTCGACCAACATTAAAGATAAATTATTGGTATCCACCGTACAGTATATATAATGTACATAGGTACAACGCCAATTGCGTATAGCGATAAATAACTTTGAATAATTAAATAATAGTGTATAGGTAGGTAGGTATCCTGTTTCGTCACTTGTGAGAATATAAATTGCGCAAGTCAAATGTATTAAATAAGGCATTGTTGCACAAAACAATCCTAAATGATTTGCGAGAAAGCCTAAGTTATAATAGTAATAATAACGGTAGCACTATGAAAATACCGTAAATTGATCGCAAACTATATCCAACAAAATGCATTAAACTGAACGATTATTGCGCTTAATGAATCCACACAATAGCAACGAAAACCTGTTCTCGTACAGCACACTACAATAATCCAACGGTATACAATCTGCACAAACGCTACATTACACCCTTCTATTCACAGACGGCTTGTGTTTTACATAAATATTAATGGCCTTTCGGTTTTTATTACCCACTGGCTGTTTCGAAACAGTATTATAATAAACAACAGTATGTATGCCTACAAAAGGCGATAATAATAATATGTAAACATTAAATACATAAAAATGATTATAACCCTAAGCGCATTAGTAACAGATTAAAGTTTTACAAAACTCGTAAAACGAAAATTAATGAAAAAATGTTAAAATCTAATATCTAATAAAAATATCTTAAAAAAAAAAAAATAATAATAAAGACTGTTCTCTTCTAATATCGAAATAGTCACACTTAATCTTAGATTAAAATATATATTGTTTTTTGATATATACTATAAAATTAATTTATAAAACTGTTTAAAAAGTTGTTATAATATATTATATATTATTATAAAGGTATAAATTATATTTTTTTGTATTTATATCCGCTATGAGTTTAAAAACTAAACGAGAAAGATCTACAAATTTTATCGATTCGGAACTGGAACTTCTTGTTGCCCTGGTGGTTAAGCAAAAAAAATTTTAGAAAATAAAAAAAACCGATGCTAGAAATGTATCGCAGCGAGAAATGTCTCAGATTAAAATATGAAAATTTAAAAAAGACAGTAAAAATCAAGTTACGGGATGTTAAAGCAAAACCATGTCATTAATTTATATCAAACGAGTATTTAAATAGTTACAAGTTAAATATTTGTTTTAAATTAATTTAGTACTTACACTGAATTGAAATAACTACTTTAAAAAAATAAAAAAATACAAAATATCTAGTAGATATTTGAGTAAAATGTAATATTACCTGATAATATTGATATTAATCTTAGTTTAAAATCTTTAACTGATCATAATATGCAAGTTAACTTAAACTGTGATTAAGATCCAGTTAAAATTTAACCGAGAGATCATAAAACCAAAATTTTTGGTTAACTAAAGATTAACATTAACCAGAATTTAAATTCGTTTAACTGACGATTGATAAAATGGGCCTTAGACAACGCTCGTGTGGTTTCGACACTCGATATTGTATCGTTTATGTTTGATAACGTTTTTTGTACCGATCCAAAACCGAAAAGCCTCGACGGGTGATTGAATGCTAATTTCTGTCGTCTGTTGACCGGAAAATAAATAATAAACATATTATAATATTGTTCACTATTTATTTTGTCCGTTTTTCCGCATTAATTATTTGTTTATTGTTCTAACGACGACCGCTGTAATCCGTTTAATGGAAAAGTTGTCTGTCTGCGTTACATCGAGTGTGTTCGATCCCATCGTTACAGTAAACCGTCTTTGACCAAAACTGTACCTGCCCCGGTGTCCCCGGGGTCCCAAACGTCCAATTATTTATATTCGATCCACTCTGCAGTGTAATAATAATATACAGGCTAACGTCCCTAAAATGTAATATAAAATATAATACATTAGTTGTATGTAATATATTTTTTTTATACCGACCAAAACCGTCTAATTGCCGGCCGATTATATTTTGTCGGGGCACCGTGTCCGAGGGAATTGTATTGAATCTCCCGCTGAGCTCTAGTGTAGTCGTAAGATGGTCATTAAATAGCGTTCAGAGGGGAGCAAAAAAAAAAAAAACGTATCGCGGTGTATATAATATCGGTTCGCAAACACCTTATGTATCGGGTTTCAATTATATTATATTTTTTGTGGTAAAACGAAAGATTTGCCCTCCTCCGGACATGATGACCAAATAATAACAATAATAATATCTGTCGGTGCGATTTATAATGATGTGAGAACCGTAGTAGTATTATATTTTTTTCCTATATATATATTTGGGCAGATCAATGAAGAGGAAGTGTGCAAAACGGACGCGAGGAAGTGAACGCGCGTGTCGGAATACAACGCTAGACGTTTTTAGCCTAACGAGAAGGGTCGTTTCCGCATTTGGGGGGGGGGGGGATATCTATAGAAAACCGTCAATCTAAGGTCCGCGTGTGATTCAGTTTCAAAAAAAAAAAAAAGTAACCATAATACCAGTAAAAAAGTTACAATAATACTAATAATTGTCAACACGCTCGTTTGTCAGGGAAACAAATATAGTTACAACCCAATTAATGGTTGAACAAACTTTCTTAAATCTTATTTTGAATGTATCATGTATGAACAAAAAATTGTACATAGTTTTGTAAGTCAAAATTGCATTTACTTACCACAAATAATACATACCTACATTAATATTTATGGACGAGTTAAAGCTTTCATAGATTGAAACAAACTTGATAATCTTCGGGCGGAATATGTTTTGAATGGAAATATTTGTGTTTCTTAATGATAAAAAAAAAAAAAAAAATGCTTTGCCTCACCTAAAATAATAAAACGCCAGAACTTTAATGGAAACGGTATAGGACAATGCACCAACATTGGACAGCGTACAAACACAATAGCTTATTTAGTAGAAAACCAGAAAAAAGGCAAACGTTTCAAGATCGTCGATGGCCGGGGGTTGATTAAAAATGTAAAAACTTGACTTTTTAAAATGGATAGAAAACAATTTTTCTAAAAAAAAAAGTACACCGGGTTGCTTTTCGGATTAACCGTCTTTTTCTATTTTTTTTCTTTGTTTTTTTTTGTTACCCTCGCTGCGTATGTTGTAAGAGTCTTACTCGCAGACTTCAACCGGGGATCACGTGTATAACACATGTGTAATATATAAGTGCGTTGGGTAGAACTTAACGTGCGATTCCATTAACATGTCATTCGGACGGCGAATTATAAAAGCGACGGCCATAAATCAATTGACCCCACCCGGATAATCTTGACGGAATTTTTTCGCAACCCTTCCCCCCACCCCAAACCACTCACTCCCTACTCTCTCACTCCGGGTTTTCCCCGTCTGATACACACACAAAACAAACACACTGACCATTGTCCCGCGCCGACAGATAAACGACGACGACGACCGTTTAAAGCCAAATCATTAATAAAGCTTAGGTACAAGATAGCGCCCCGACTGCGGAAGGGTTGCGATACAATATAATATATTTCCTATGCAAATGTCCCGGTCATAGCCGGCAGGTATGTGTATGTATATAATTATAATAATGGCCGATTAAAACAGGACGTTGCTGTGTGTGT